AGTATTGGTGCTAATACCTGGCATCTAGCTGGACTTTTTGCCACTGGACACAACCCTTTGAGATCACAAGTTCAGCCAGTTTTCAGTCTCTCACATGCCATTTATATGGCCATTTATATAGGCTTGTCCACTTAAACTCTTAGTCCATGCTTAAGCTGTAACACTTTCCTAGGGATCAAGATGAGGGTTGCTGATAAGTAGTCACCCTATTGCGGTTTTTGAATGTAGCACTGACATTTGATTCCTTCAAGTTCTCAGGAACCAATCTTTCAAAGATTTTTTTTTTTGAGAGTGAGGCTTGCAGATATATTAGCCAGCTCTTATCTCAGGGGCTTGAGATTGCTGAAGACTGATCTTGCCACTAAAGACCAAGATGAAGACGACTGTTGGGTCCCCAGCCTTTTCTGCGCCTTTGTCATTCAGCAGTTGTCTTTTTTTGCTGCTGTAGAAGCTTTTTTTGTTGCCCTTCAAGTTCCTTGACAGATTCCACTACAAATGGGCACTGACTATCTTAATTCTGTTCTTGTGTGCTTACAGTGTCTGTGTTTTCCTTCTGTGTCACCTTTCTCTGCTTCCACCTCTTATATGCTTCCTTTTTGTTTGAGTTTTGTCAGGAGCTCTTTTTATGTCCATGCAGTCCTCTTGCCACTCTTGCTGGGCTAAGAAGCTCATTGGCATGAACCATTTCTGAGCTTGGAGGAGATGATCCTTAAAATCAACCAGCTGACCTGGACCCCTCTGCTTTCTGAGACCATAACTCTTGAATTTTTTCCAAGCAGACCCCTTCAGATCATAGTCTTCTCTTCTGACGTCCCAGGTTGTTATTTGCTATTTGTCTTGTTCCCAGCTCTCAAGATCCCGAGCTCCAGCATCTCATTGTCATTGCAGCCAAGGCTACCCTCAACCTTCTTATCCCTGACCAGTCCTTTTTTTGCAAGTATGAGATCCAGCAGAGTGTCTCCCTTGATCAGGTCCTTGATCATCTGTGTTAAGAAGTTTTCACCAATGCAAACCTCCTGGACTGCTTGTGCCCTGCTGTGTTGCCTTTACAGCAGATACTATGGTGGTTCAGTTTCCCATGAGGAGCAGGGCCTGAAAACATGAGGTTTCTTCAAGTTGCCTGAAGAAAATCTCACCTACTACTCCTTCCTGATTGGAGGTCTGTAACAGGCATTCATTCAGGACCAGTAAAGCCAGGTCATAGCTATGCCAGTGTTGTAAATGTAGATCTGACACTGACATACATGTTCTTTTTTTTCTTCCAGATTGAGGAGTGTGCAATTCAAGATTTATTAATCCACTATGAAGCTTTTGACAACCCTGATGAATTTGTGACTGTTGAAAGGGCTTCACAGGGACCTATAGCTGCACCTATGTGGAACAAGCACTAATCTGTACTCTTCAAAGTCCTCCCTTACACAGTCTTCACAGTTGTATGTGCACTTTTGAAGTTTTAATTCTTGCTGCAAGTAAAACAGGACTGGAAGAATAAGAATCATGAAACTTTTAACATCAGCATTAAAACACTGCCCATAATCACTAGGTATTTGTTAGAGAGAATGAAATAATATGTTCACTGTGTCCTTTTCCCACAGTATCTATTGTATGTATGTTCTGAGAGAATTTCTTTAACAAGACATACTATTAGTAATGTTACATGAATCTGTAGATTGGGAATGCATTTGCTAATCTTAAATTGTAAGGGTTTTTTGTTAAATTTACAGGTGGCTGGAAAGTGAGTGCTTATTTTGTGATTTAATGTGGAATTGAATGTGCAGAATTACACACTTGAAAAGTTTGGGGGATAGTACGTCCTTTAGAGCTTTCTGACCAATTGGGAATATTGGAAAAAAGTTTGTGCTTGAACTTTGTGTAAAGGTACAGTTTGATGATGCAGTTTTCCTTAAGTTCCGTGTGCCAGTACTGGTTCTCTGGTTGCTGTGGCCAGTACATTTCACTGTTGTACCCCAGGCTGTTCCCAAGTGCCCGGCCTTTGCCTTCTCCTGGCTCAATTGTATATGTTTTCCACTGTTGTGAGATCAGCCTTTGAGCAGTGAGCTCTGTCATGAAGTAAAGCACACAGTTGGATAGAACGTGGCGGCACTTAATTAGCCCGTCTATAGTCTTATTCTGGTAAATATGGTACAGTTTTAGAACCACTGTGTTTGAGGAACAATTCACTTGAAATGCTGAAGGAAATAAATCTGAGCATGCATTATTAAAGCTATAGAGATGAGTGCTTGACTGGGAATTTGCAAACACCTAACCTTCAAAGATTGTCATAGATGGCTTTCAATAGTGTGTTCCAAAGTTCTCTGTGCCTGGTTGAAACAAATTTGTATATAAAAAAAAAAGAAAAAAAAAGGTAGCCTTATCTGCAATATTCTGTCTAGTTTGTCTTGTTTGTGTAGGTGTGTTTGAACTTGTACTTTCTCAGTAGTGTTAGTACTTGCAAACTCTGGAAAACTGGAATTGAAAGAGCTATAGAAAATGAATGTAGAGAATTGATCACTGTGTGATAAAAGAATCTTGAAAAAACCTAAGTAGATATGTCTTAATGATTTCAGGTCAAGCTACACCAAAAAAATTCCCCACAAAAATTGTAAACAAACGCAATAAACCATAAAATCTTGATTTACACAAAGTTAATATACTTCTATGTGCTGTCTATATATAATCAATGATTTAGGTAACTGCAGAGTGATCTAAAAGTATTTCTTTTCTGTATGAAACAAGAACTGTAGGCATTTTGAAGCTGCACAGGCGAAAAAAGATGTAACTTTTAATTCTGTTTTAAATTCTACTGGTGATTCATTCACTATACTGATGATACTGCTTGCAGTAAGGGCTTTACTTGATGCACTGCAGGGCTTTAGGACCTGCTGAAACTATACTTCTGATTTAAAAGGAAGCTTATGTACTGTGAGAAACAGCTATAAAGGAAGTGGACCTTTCCAGGTGTGAACCCAATTTGTTATCAAATGTAAAATTTTTGTAAAGTTCCTAATTTGTGTTTTTTTTTTTCTTTTCAAAATATGCTGTTTAAAATCTCATTCTCCTGATATTGTAAGAGGATTGGTGCTTCCACTGTGCCAGGGAGCTTGACTGCTTTAAGTTCTGGGTTTATTGTCACAGTTTGTTTAGGCATCATCACTTATATGTAATACTAAACAAAAATAAGGAATGATCAGTGTGCCACTCCTCTTGAGCTGAGAATGTTTTTAAACTGTTGTGGTAGAATAGCTTAAAGTTAAGGCTAAACTGTGACACAGAAGGCTGGCATTTTCTAAGTCAGATGCCCATTTGTGACCTTTCTCATAACGCTAAAAATGAACTCCATCTTTGTTCACTCAGCTCTAATAATGGCTTGTCATTTCTGGGCTTATTAATTCCTTTAACTTGCACCAAAACAGGGTGGAATTCCCAGGTTCCTACAAACATAAAGCAACACCTCAGAGTTTGCAGTGAAAAACAATATTTAGCATATAGATATATAGTTTCAAGGAAATGTATAATGGCTAATTAGTGTAAGAAATGCAAAGTTATCAAAAGGATTCTAGTGAAATATTTGTTATATCTCAAACCAACCAACCCCCAAAACAGGTTTCTTGAACAACAGTAAGAATTTTGTCTTTTCTTCATCGTTCATTATCCCCAACCTCAGTCACTTCTTAAAAAATGGAAGGATAAGTAAAACTTGCAAATGTTTTCACATTAAAATGGAGAAAAAAATACATTTAAAATTCTATTAGTACTGCACTGCCTTCAGCACGTGCTATTATAGTCGTGTCAAGGCATTTGAGGAATGTATAACTTTTCTGCATTGTATATTGAAATGAAAATGTAAGTAAAGTAGGAGACTTCAGTCAATTAGAGAACCTGAACTGCTTTTGTTCCTCAAGAGGAGAGGTTGTTTTTTAGTGAATAATCTGACAGTAGAGTATCGTTGAATGGAATCTCCATATAAGGACTGATTATACAATCTTTCACAGAAGAGCATTGACAAAAAAAATTACTAAATTTCCTAATTTGACTTGTATAAATCTTGATGATACCTTCCTACCATATGTTTTTTAACTGAATTCCCCATTCCCTGCCTCTTGTGATTGGTGTCATTTATAGGTGGCAACAGGACCTTTTAAAAAGCTACGTATTCTAAAATGAAAGCACTCACGAAGGCTCTACTGCAATAGTCAAGTTGTGGAACTGAACTGCTTTAAAAGCCTTTTGACTTTGAATGATTTTGGTGTCCATTTGTGTCCCCACGTCCTCCCATCCCCCTCTTTTCTTTTTTTGTAAATAATACAGCGAGAGACTCTTTGAGCTCTTTTGAAAGTGCTCAACTTGAGAAGTTCATTGATCGTTCTGCTATTGTAATCACATTTTGCAGCCCCTTTGCAATCTGAACTCTTTCTTACCCAAAGAATTGCTTGCTCTAATGTAAAGACAACACAAGTCAGAATAGAACACTGGATTCTTAGATCTCACTCTAAATATAAAGGTAAAAGATTTACACTGGAATTAAGTAACTTAAACTCTTAAGCCTTGACTTGCATGATGTCATCAGAGAATGTTCCTTTCCAGTAACAGGAACTGGTCAATTAAAGTATTAAAAGATTTCAGAATGGATTCCATCCATTTTACTCCAAAGAAAGTTTGTAAAGCTCCACCAAAGAGCCTGTTAGTTAAACCAAAGGGAAAGTTTTTCTCTCTTTAACATGTGGTGTTCTGTAGCCTGGTCAAGTGAGATGTTAAGGCATCCAAAAGGCAAATCCTTCCTGTCAAGACTCTAGCTGTGGCAGACCTCATAAGTGCCAAGAGGGCAGAGACTGTATTTGTAGTATTTTAGGTGTCTATCCTTGAAAAAGAACTTATTAATTGTAGAAGACCAACAAATTCACACCCATACAATACATGTATGGAAAGGCTTTTAGCAATGGTGCAGCAAAGGTATTCTTTGAGTTCAGAGAAGTTCCCCTAATGTTTGTGAGAGATTTTTCTTGGAAGAGAGAGTTGCATCTGACACAAACTCTACCTAGAAAGTTTTTGCTTTTCAGGAAACTTTCCTGAACTATGATGTATATCATGGCACCAAAAAAATACCAATTTTGTAGCAGCTTTCAGATGGATAAGACCTACATGGACTTATGTTACACTAGTGCTTCAGCACTAGGAGCCTTGAAGGCCTTTTCTGGAGGAAGGCAGTTGGATGTAAAGAAACAAGCATCTTCTGGAGATGAAGATACTCCTCAGGTGAGCTATCTTTATTGTTCCAGCAGCAGTTCTGCCTTCTTTCCCCCTTTCCCTTCCTTTCCCCCCTTTTTTATTCTCCCTTTCCTCCCTTTTCTCTTTTATTCTCCCTTTTGCCTTTTCTTTTGCTTTTATTTCTCATACAGAATGCTATTTCTTTAGCATGGCCTTTCCCCCCCTTTTTTCTCTCTTAGCACTTGAATAAAATGAGAAAAGAAATTGAGCAAACTTGCAATGGCTTCAGATAAGGATTGGCAGGAACTAATACTAACATATTATACTAATAAAAGTTGAAACTCTGCTCTGTAGGTCAGCCTTGAAGAGTGTACTCAAGTTTATCAAAGTGTTGCTTAAACCATGTTGTATCTCCTGTAATTCGAGTGACTGAAATGCCAGCAGTCTTCTGTTTGGATGTGATGTGTATGCGTATCAGGGCCTGAAACCAGGCCTTGAGGTAGGAGTTATGTGACTAAGCTGCTGTTGCAGACAGTAAAGAGGTCGGCAGTTGAGTCAAGGGAGTGTGAAGATCCTGGAGTGGGCTTCTGAGGGCTGCTCAGTGGAGTTCTCTCCAGGCTCTGGTGCCTGCCTTGGATGGGTCTTCTCCAGCTCCATTCAGACCACATGAAGGTACTTGAATTTGCATGTCTCAGCCTTTCCAAAGAAGGAAAAGAACTTTTTGGTTCGTCTTTTCACTGGAACAGCATGAGTTTGTCAAAAGCATGAGGCTTTGTGCAAGTGCATTTTCTTTGGGTAGCCCTTCTTGGAGGATGCTTTTAATACCCAATCAAAACCTTCTATAGGATTAATAATTTCACAGTGGGATAACAATATTCTCATTCAACTGCATTTTTTTGAGAAGAAACTGATCCAGAAAGTTCACAAGGTCTAAGTTAAGGGATGGTTTAGAACAGATAATCACACTCCCCTTGATCCTGATTTTTAGAGTTGCTTTAAAATACATTCTTTTAATGTTTGGGGTCAATTCTTCCAAATTGTGCATAAGCTGTTCAGATAATGAAGGGAGTAAAACTGTTAAAAGCCTGGGTATGTTTTATTGGTTTTTTTCTTCTGATTTCATTTGCATAAAGGATATAACATGCATGAGAACCAGATAAGTAATCAAACAAACAAAAGGCAAATTTACCTTAAAGCAGACTGAAACAGATCCACTGCGTATTCTCTCAAGTACTAGTGTACAGCTGGGGGAAAGCCGAGAGTCAGTTCTCTCCCTTCTCCTAATAAAAAATAATCATAATTTTTATGTATCATTCTCAAATAAGAAAGTAGGCAGGAAATATGGGCCCAAAAGTTTTTTTTATCATTCTCAATACTTCAAGATTTCTTCACCTCTCCCCCTTCCATATTCTTTAAAAGTTTTTTCAGGAAGGTAAGGAGAATGCAACTCCTGAGTCTGTGTTCTTAACTAATTTCTCACAGCACTAAAAATATTTACAGGTCTCTGTCTCCTCGAATTGAAGTGCCATTAAAGAAAAAGATGAGTCTTCTTCACTTAGTCATTTCACTGTTCTGTAATTCTGCAGGAATATGTCACGTACGTTTGTCAGGCACTGAACCCTGACTACAGGGAAATAGCTGCCTGTGCTATAGGTTACATGGTTGGGAGAGTGCCAGGTGCCCTTTGCTTTAAGCACAGCAGCTGTACCTGCTGCATGAGCCTGGCTGCTGTCCCTATACAGGAGGTGAAGAGGTCATGAGAGCTGCACAGGGAATACAAGCTACTTGCTCCTGCTCAGCTCTCTCCAGTCGTCCTGATTCATCAGCTATGACTGCCTTCAGCGTGACTGGGCTTCTCTGGGTGTTTTTGATCTTCTGCTACAGGTTTTTTTCTGAAGGGAACCCTACCACTTCTGCTGAATGTCATAGATGGCAACACAGCACTTCCTGGTGAGAACTGTGCTCATGCCATTTGGTGACAGAATACTGGGAGCAACTGCTGATACATTAGCATAAAACAAAAAGATATAAAGGATGTATTAAGCATAAAGCTGTTTTTTGTTTTCCTTATACACACATACAGATATTTTTGCTTACCCTGCCTTCTATATGCTGCCTTTATTGCAATAGAAGGGAAAAATATGCAGAATATGTGTCTTTTTTCCCCACTGTATTTTAAGATGTTTACAAGACACACTGTCCATGTTCATGGATACTGCAAAGATGGAATGAGCTGTGAGTGCAGCAGGGTTTCCGGGATTGCATCTTTGTGTTACACATACAGCTCGTAGCAAATGGGCTGAAGGAGAATGTGTGTGCATGCACGTCTGCATAGCCATATTTGCTTGTCTTTGTAGAATTAGAATATATTGCACCACTTCAACAAATACAGTTAATGTGTTATCTCTTCCCTCCATCTGTGTGTACTGAGTGGTAGTGAACCTTTTCATCTGAACTTTATCTCTGTGCTTTGCAAATGTTAACAATTACGTCTCACTGTATTTGTGAGGTACACTAACTGTGGACTGTTACCCAGCTTCCAGGTGGTGGCTATCAGCACACAAGTAGGAATTTGGTTAGTCTAAGGTTAAATGTACTCATTTATGGTCATGTCCTGAAGGAGAGTCTGTAAGTCTTTTTGTTCCAGTCCCATGTGGAGACTGTAGCTTTTCTGGGATCAGCTATATAGAAATTCCTTTCAACCAAAACTTGTTCTTCTCTTTCTCTGACCGTCTTTATAAAGCAAGTGCATCTGCTGCCAGAACATGCTCCTCTGGGCTCCCAGCTGTTTGGTTATATCTGTTCATTACTGTTCTGAAGGGGCTGTAAGCCCTTCACAAGCTGATCAGGTCATATTTCTCTTTTGTTTCCATGTTTATGAGCAATTTCTAGTCTTGTAAACTAATGTTTTTGTAAAAAGTGCTTGACCTGTTATTGACAAGTCTATGATGGTTGTGATTACAAGTTTTAGTGTGATGATGTCACTTTAAATAGGGAAGCTTAACTAGTTGAACTGGTAATGATGAATTCCTTGAGGGAAAGCACACTAACCTATGGCAGGAACTGCACAAAATAATAAGTGCCACTTGCGTGGAGAAGTGATGGGCTGACTGTAAGGTGTCTGAAAGTGAACTGCAAAATGAAGAAAATTGAGTTTACGTCCTCTGTGGTTTCTTGTTCATGTCGTAGAAGTAGTTTTACAGTACATCTTTTACATATTTCTGCACATAATTTTTTTTTGCATCACAAGTTCAGTCCATCTCTATGTTAAAGATACTGTATTATCTTAGTACTATCAGGACAAGAAAGAAGCAAAGAGAAGGTGAAGATTTTAATCACAACGTGTATTCATCTCAACACAGATATTCTCTTCGAGGTGTTTAATAGGTAACATCTTTCATCTAACCTGTAAGAACAGGCGGTAAACAACTTCTGAGTCTCTAAAATGTCCTCTTGTAAATCTAGAGGAAAGTTTTGACCTGAAATTCCTGTTACTTGAAGCAATAAAATTAAAATTATTCCCAGTAGTTAAGCTGGGGGCAGGGGGAGTGGGAGTGGCAGAAGAGAGACAAGGAAATGGTTAAACAGTACAATAAAATTAAAAAAAAAAAGACATGAGGCTAACTTGACTGTTTGAGGGGAAAAGAGGAATATATTTAGATTTCAAAGCATGTGGTATTATTTGATACATGTAAGATTTCAGGGCTGGACAGCAATGCAAGCAGAGGTGGAAGTTGCACTCCCAAGGGCACTCTCCCTTCTGTCTGGAATTCTGAAAACTCATTGTAAGTTGCAAGCTGCAATTGTTTATGCTGCCCTTTATTCACTTTCATCTTACAATTTCCAACCTCTTCTTTCCTAGAAACAATAAACTCAGGTTTTACTCAGTCCTTTTCCCCCTGTTCCTTTGAAGCTTCAGAAGGAGCAGCAATAACTGAAGGTCTAATGTTGAAAACCATTGCAAAATGAAGGTAACTACTGACCTGGTGCAAACTTTTGTTAGAACATGAAATCACTTTTTGCAACATCTTTGTCTTGTCCTGTTCTGCAGAGGTCAGCATAAGGCTGTCTTCCGTTACCTTTCTGTTGCCCAGTGTTGGAAGTCACAACGGTTACATCTGTAGTCAGGAGTTCCCTCTTGGTAAGCTAGTTCTCTCACCAAGGGAAAATTAAATGCCCGTGCTTTTGGACTGTCTAGGAATATTTAAGGGACAGGCTTTCCAGTTGGAGTGTTCAGAGGCTGCATTCAAACAGTTGGATCCTTGAAGGGGAATGGCCCTAAATTTGGGGGAAAACACCAGTAGAACAGGTAATGCCTAAAGACTAATGCCATCAGTCTTAGTACATCTGTCTCCTTTTCATTTTATGAGGAGAGTGTTCCCATTTCCCTCCACTTAGGATGTGTACCCTCTTGCCTTTTCCTTCCCTGTGCTTTGGATGAGACAGCACTGATGGATCAAAGAGATCTTTACTGGCTGTATTCATCTTAGGCCTCACAACCTACTTGCCTCCATGTTTCTGCGTTAGTAAGATTTTAGAGGGAAAGCTGTCAGAGTTTGCTTACTGATAGTGTACTGTTTACTTGTTTCAATTGTTTCATGAGTGGGAAAGGAGCTTTCTCTCTTCACCACCTCCCTTCACATCCGCATTTATATGTCCTTCTCAGCTTTACTTAAAGGAGTTGTTGATAGAGAATGTCTGCATGGTCAGAATTAGCTTTAAAGAAGAGTTTAAAACAGATTAATTAAACATGTCATTCATTGTATAACATTATAATATATATATTGCTATTACTGTGGTTCTGTTGGGGTGAGGTCTTGACCAGATTCTCAGAAACCTTACTGCAGGGACAGAAATATGAAAGTCCAGCAAGCTCTTAAAGCTTTGTTAGCACAAAATGTGTTGTATGTTAAAAAGGAAAGGAAATTAATTTATGAACTATTGAAGACGATCTACTTTGGGTAGGACTTCTTATCTGTACTATGGTAAGATGGGTATATTGGAGAAAAGGAACTCTGAAAAGAGAATTTCTGCATCAGTTCATTTTAGGCAAGGAAAGCACAGGAACTTAATCTCCCTGTGAAGGTAATGCAAGGAACTTTATGCCTTTTAAAGGAGCAATGTAATGGACTGAAAATCAATGCTTTGCCTTATCACATTTATACTTATCACTGTTCCTTTGTTTTCATCTTAGTCGAACGGGGTTATCCTGAAGGACTGTAAAGCTGTTTACTTTAGTAATCTCTGGCTACAGAGCTGAGGAATATTTTGAAAAATCAAATGTTTTGGTAAGATAGTTCTCTGTAAACCTATCTGATTTAGGCTACTGCTTCACAAGTTTTTTGCTGGGGAGAATCATGGC